TACGCGTATAACCTATTTAGCTTTTATGATATAGACAAAAACTCGATGGCAATTTTCCCTTTAGTCTTCTTCGCAACAACGAAAACGAGCAGAACCACCAAAACTACAAATATTTCTTTGTGTAACGTGTAGTCAACCTTGTTTTTAATCAATTATACTATTGTCACGGTTCAAATGTTTTAAAAGAGAGTTTCTTAGAAAAGAGTATCATTACTTGAAACAAAGAGAAGATTAGCGGAAAATGAGCGGAACATAGACGTATTAAACTGATATGAAACTGAAGGGAGGGGCGTAACCTGGTTTGAAAAGTAAGTAGTCTGGTATCTGTTACTGTCTTCATTATACTCGCAGAACTTTAATGTAAATCCGTGTCATTTAATTTCATATGTTTGTTTTCTTAGCACCCAAAGGCTTGCAACGAGTTGAGAGTGCTTACCTTAATAGATTTCTGACAGCTCGTAAGGTCAAACCTAAACGTGATTTGTATCATGCAAGTCCGAGTTCAAGACAATTATTTCTCCTTTATCCTCTTTGCAGCGATTTGCATCTATTCCAAAAGTGCTGGCTACAGTACGTAATTCTGTCAGTAACATGCCGCAAGACGCTATGAATGTCTGGGTTGAAGAACTCAAGGCGGATTATTTCAGAGTGTGCCTTAGGGAAGTGAAAACATTCGATGGAAAGCATCAGAATTTAAAAGTGGCAAGTTTGACTAGTATAATTCTAATTCATAGAAGCATATGTAGAAATATTTTGATTTTGTTCATTGAATGGTTTTCTCTGAACAAATGCTGAAGTAAAATGATTCCGGATTATGAGATAAGTGTGTCAAGGTCTTCACAGTTATATTACTCTGATTAAGAGCTCTTTTCACCTTTGACGGGTTGTTTTTGGCCGAATTGTTAAAAAAAAATGCCATTTAACCCTTAGGATTGGCTGGCATTAACTCACGGAGGTATTCAACTTACATTTCATGGAAAATTGTTGTTTGAAAATGGCGGAGCTCCTCGGGAACAAGACAATTTTGCCTTTTGCAAGGTAAGTCGAAGGCTCGATTTCCTTTAGAGTAACACAAGAACACCTTTTAAGTGACCCGGAAAAAGTGATTTAAGCCAAGTAATAATATAAGTGTGTAGTTAATATTTACTCTCTTCTGCAATACTCAATTCTACTGATGTCAACTTTTTCTTTATAGGTACACAATTTTACCGATGAATTTTATGCACCCCCTGTAGTCATAGTAACAGTAAATCATCTGTACGTTAGCAAGAATGTATATTCCATCAAGCCAGAGAACAATGTTCTTAATACTTGGATTGAGGTAAAGTGTTATAACTCGTGCCTCTGTAAATATAACTTCCTTCTGGATCACTAATAACGTTTTTTTCTCCATAGAAACCTTTGTGACTCAGAATTTAAACCCACACCTTACCTGGGATTCAAGCCTTTTAAAAATAAATATCACTTTTAAATGCTCGAAAATATATTAAGAGCCTACCATTGTCACCTCTTTAAAAAAAAAAAGAACCTTTTATTCCCGGTGGTGGGGAGGTGTTCTTGAGTCGATACCTTTACCTTATTATATTTCATTTACACCCCATCTTAAGTTAGTCACTTTTGGGCGAATATCATTTCGGCCATCCCAATTTAGTCCCTTTCAGTTCATGTATCTACCTTATAAAGCCTCTAAGAAGGTCATCCTAAAATGAATTGACTCATTTGACGGCGAATTCTCCCATTTTAAAAACACTACTTACCAGAATTTACTTCCCCACAAAATCCTGGAAATGCAACCTCCATTACAATCAATCCAGTCGTGAAAATGCGGTCCCACCCAGCGGCACATCTCCACAAGCCTATTAATAGAAAATACTTTTCCTCAGGCTCTTACTATCGATGAACTCAGGAAAACTTCTTTACTTCAGTTTTTGATATCTCAGAGAATCACAGATATTAAAATACTTTGCATTATCGCAATTAAACTAATCCGATTGCTGGTTTTTTTTCAACAGGAAATAACGATCTCATCGTTCCGTGTGTGTGTAAAAGACTTGGCAGGAATGGAAAGTCAACACGATCCTGTTACTTTGGATTACGTTGTTATTGGAGGTAGATAGATTGGTCAGGTCTTGTAGCGTATATATAATATGTCTCGACCAAGCAGTTTTTTTTAATATTTCATTATAATCATTTTTGAACGTTTCAAGTAGAACTATAACTGCCTATGACACAATGCACAATTACAACGCTTAACGTAAAAATACTTCCAAGAAATTTTTTCACCGCTCTAAAGAATTTTTTATTCGGAAAATTCTACTTAGACTTAGTGCAGTTCTTGCAGTTATGTCACAATACTAAACGCGTTTAGCAGAACACTACTTTATCAAACAAAGCTAAGATTAGATTAAGCCATCTTCGCTCCTGTTGGGAGGCATAGGACACCAACCATGAACATGACTCTACTTGTGGCAGTTCTCTGTGGGTCCTTTCAAGTGATGTTCCTCCTAGCTTTTGGCTGAGAGAAGCTATCAAAGGAAGTAATTACTAAACAAACTAACGATACTACCACTTAAAAAACAATTCTCAAAGACTAGCTCAAAGTCCTTCCATATAGAAAATAAAGAGTTACTAAAGTCATCCTAGGTGAGTGTTGTGACTTTTAACTATGTTTGAGAAATTTTTAAGTGTAACACAACTGATAAGAGAAGATTACCTTGTAGTACTCAGTTTTTGTAAGGATTCTATTCTTGTTGATATTTAAAATTCGCAGATCGTGATCCTTGCATCAATGTTTCCTGTAATTATTTTGCCGTCTGCAAGGCATTTGGACCCAAAGATG